GAAATTGGTGTGTGCGCACTGATGCCAGCAAAGGTCTGGAGGTGTCTTCCGTCTTGGTCGAGTGTGAGAAGGTGACAACCGCCTCACCAGATGCAAGCGGAAGAACTTCGGCTGGAGGTTTTTCAGCTGCCCCGACTTGCCAACTCACGCCATTGACATCACTTCGAGCTGGTTGAAGGGGCTTTGCCTTCCATCCCCAGCTGGTGAGGGCTTTCTGCAGAGCTGCCCGCTGAATGCCGAAGGGCAAGGGGTAGACCAGGTAGATGCTCGCAATGTCCAAGTGCTGGAATCCCTCACCCGGCTTGAGGACCTTGTGGGCTGCCTCAAGTTGGTTGGCGGCGAAGCGAAGCCCCAGCTTGTTGTGGATCCGGGCCAGGCCAAGCGCGCCCTCGACACTGGATTTCTTGCAGGCAATATCAGCGATACAGGCTCCAGGAAGCCAGACCACGCCAAAGGCAGGGTCAGTGATTCGGCCCGTTGCATCCCTGGGTTCAAAGAAGATGCCGTGGGTGCCCGAGACGGTCAAAAGCTGCGTGCACGCCGATGAAGGGATCCGTACCATAGCAGACCATGAAGCGCAGGTGTCTGGTTTGGCCTTTCGGCCATGAGCATCATGCCATTGCCGGCTCCAGATATCCAAAAGCAGGGGTGTCTCCTCGTCCACCGGAGGGTGATAGAGGGGGCACTGATTTCCAGCGACAGGTGCGTAGGAGTGGGAGTACCGCCTGCAAGGTCCGTACTGGAGCAGTCGTAAAGGTCGCCCAATCTTGAGGAAAGGCATCCTGAAATACTGCAATTTTCACCGTCTGTGTAGGGGCTGAGTCAGGGTCCAGCGACTGGGCAGACTTGCGCTGGATGTGGCCTGTGCCAAGTTGGATCAACGATCCTCGTACAAGAATCGGTTCATTGGTGGCCTGGTAATGCACGGGGAAGAGCAGGTCCACAACCGGGAGAGCACCACGGTGATCAGCTGGGATGGAAGAGCATGTGAGGAGAGCAAGGGGCTGGCCAGCAATGGACTTGCCCTGCTGAAGGAAAGGGATGGCTTCCTGGGCGGTGCAGAAGGCCACGCCCTGCTGGTCAGGATCAATGAGGCTGAAGGCCACCTGCATCGCGTCCGTCCCATCAGAACACTGAAAAGTGCCTGGGACTAGTTCGAGCTGGTGGGGGTCAAGGTTGACAAGAGTCGGCTGCGCGTCGCCGCGTTGACCACCACGTCCTTGTTGCTTCCGGTTGGAGCGCTCGACCCCAAACTGTGAGGATGCCCTCTCACGAATTCTCCTAGACAATTCGTCGGGATGAATCCACATGAAGGCGATGTGTGCTCTTGATGCAAGCGCTTTGAGAGTGGGCCAGGCGTTCTTGCTGTTGAGCGCTTGCAGGATGTCCGACGGCGGGATCTTCTGCATTGCAAGGGCGATCCTTTCTTCAATGCGGTCATCTGGGACTCCTCTGTCTCGGAGAATCGGGGCGAGCTTGTCTTTGATGTCTGCGCTGTTACTGGGGCCGAAAGCGACAGGGCCAAGGCGTGCTGGAAGGGACAGGAGAGCATGGTGCCAAGCCGCAATGTCAATCGGGGTGGTCGGTTCAACGAGGCCAAGCTCAAGTGCAAGGTGAGCAAGCATGACGGCACCGCAGGAATAGGTGTCCTTTTGGTGGAAGATGCCAATCTTGTCTAGGCCGGCAAGTGAGCAGTTGAGGGCATCAGCCAGCTGGTTGCCAAAATGGGCCATCTGGGCTGGTAGGTCATGAGGAAGACCATCAAAGCACACAATGTGAAGACCATCGCAGTAGATGTGGCAGACCAAGAAGTACCAGTGATCCAGGATGGCGATGAGCACATGGAAGTGGTGGCCTGGGACGGCAAGGTGGACCCCGAAGTGATCGTTCTGCATGATGAGAGCCGCAGTCCAGGGGTCAATCGTAGGGATGGTAGTTCGTGAGGTGGCATGGCGGTAGAGGAGCTGTGCCGTCAGCCAGATCTGGGAGGCAAAGGTGCCACGCTGACCCAAGGGTCCAGCACCATGCGGGTGAGGAACTCGAACTGTGGTATGCATCCACTGCCGTTGGTCTGGTGAAAGATGAGCGCCCTGAAGATCCAGAACGATCCACGAAGCATTCCAGGAAGGGAGTTGCCAGAGGGCCTCAAAAAGAAAACCACCAGCGGGCATGGTGTAGGAGAGGACACTCTCCTGGTAGAGGATCTGGATGCAGATGGGCGTGTGATCGCAAGCGAGACCTGCGGACTTCCTGCAAGTGCGGAGCTGATAGGGGCCATATCTGCCCGCCAGGTGGATGTAGGTCATGTGGACCATCTTGCAGTACTGGTCGAGAGCCCCAAGGGCACCATTTCCTCTCGGCACGGAGGAGGTCTTGAACTTGTGTGAGTCCATTTCGGCGTAGTGGGATCCGGGAGTCCTCATCGTCGATCAAAACCGGTGCCTCTTCATGGGCAGTGATCGTAGGCCAAAGGTGAAAGCGCTCATGCAGCAGGAATTGCTTGAAGCGCATGACAGACTGAAGAGGGTCCGTGAGGTCCTGGACGTCATGAGCTCGCTGGAGAGCACGTAGCAGATGTCCGAACACCCAAATGGATTGAAGTGGGGATGCAATCTGGCCCAGGAGGCACAAGGCCAGATAAGGATCGTCCCCCAACTTGAGTTGCGATGGGACGGCCAGGAGGAGAGCCATCTCTTTTGGGTGGAAGTAGCGCAGCTTCTCAAAGACCAGCGAATGAACAAGTACTCCCCGAAGTCCTCCTCGACGGAGGCGAGCATCAGAAAAGGCCTGCCGACGGCATCCACATGGGCATCCAGTGAGGGCATTGCCATAGCTGTGGCATGCATGTTGAGTCGGCGCTGATCGTCCCCAAAGGCCGGGTCCTCAAAACATGCCATGGCATGCTCCGTGGGGAGAAGCATCTCCTCCTCGTTCCTGGACCAGCACGGCCACGTACCGATTACCGTCTTGACCTGGTTGTAGCGTTCATCCTGAGGCCAGGCAATGAAATCACAAAGATTCACATAGTCCGGAGCCAGGATGACCCACCATCTGGTACGTCGGGTAGGCCATTGCACATGTAGAGGGAGAACAACCTCACCCATTTTGTAGTTCATGAGCTCTGAAAGTTCACATAGTCCATGGCGGATATCCGGGTTTACACACTCCAGGACCACCGCCTTGGCCTGCATGAAAAAGGCCGATTGGAGCACACCCCAGAATGCGGTGCTCCGTGGGTCCTGCATAGCCAAGCGATCACCTTGTTGGGAGAAGGGTTGGCAAGGGAAGCCGGCACCCAGCACCACATCTTTCAGGGGTTCAACTGCATGAAGGGCATGTTGGGCCTCAACTGAGGTGATGTTCATCTCAAGTACCATGGGGGAGCAGTTGGCACGGAGGACCCGGCAGCAGGCCGCATTCTTGTCCATTTGAGCAAGAACGGGCATGCCATGAAGCATAGCCCCCAGACCTAGGCAGCCGACACCAGCGCAGACCTCCTTCAGGAAGAGGGGGGAGTCCTCCGGGTTCAGAGGGATGCCGATGATCTTGGAGAAGATGGTGGCCTCAAGTGAGAGCAGGCCACCCGAGAGTTCCACAACCTGGTACCTATAGAAGGTGGCTCTGTTCATGCCCTCCAAGGAGGCGAAGGCATCCAAGGGTACCAGAACCCGTTGGCCGGAGTGCAGGATGCACCCAAAACATCCAGAGCCACCCAAAACATCCAGAGCCACCCGACTGGCCGGGCACCAGAGTGACCACCCCAGTGAAGACGCGGCCAGGAGAGGCCGCAGGCAACCAAGAGGGACATGGCTTGGGCATCTATCCCCAAGGTTCTGCTGACACAGCCACACCAGCTGGTAGGAACTTGGGCCCGTGGCTGACCAACGGAAGGACAAAAGATCAACCGGCAGCGAGCCGGGGACGGGGCAGCAAAGCATACAGGCCAGCCAAAATAACGGACAGGTCCAGTGACGGAAAAGGACCAAATCAGCAACAGGAAGGGGCCAGTTGAAGGCTGGCAACAAACGGGAAAGTACAAAGGCAGCAGCGAAAAGGATAGGGCCAAGGAAATGTAGAGCACGGCCAAGAAGGGGAAAGGACAGAAACAGCAACTGGCAGCGATTGGACAAAATATTGACAAAAGCAGCAACGGGGCCAGCGACGGACCCAACAAAAAACATCGGTAACGATGGGGCCAACGTTCCAGCGAGAGGGCCAGCCATGGGACGACGGAGGACTGGGCCAGTCGACAATCTCCGTCTTCTGTCGCTGGCCCTGTTGCTGTTTTGCCCTTTGTTCCTGGCCGTTCTTTGAACTTCGCCGGCCCCGTCAATCCCGTTGCTGCTTTTTGGGCCCTTCGCTAGCCCCGTTGTTCCAGTGGCTGTTTTGGTCGTGTCCTGTCACTGGTCCTGTTCTATACATTTGGACCCCTCCTGGTTGGTATTCAAAGTCAAACCAAAAGGAGATAAAGGCGACCAACTGATTAGGGTACGCTGCGAAGCAATCCTGCGTGCCCTCTTGCACTATACCAGGAACACCGTGTAAGTTTGTCTTACAAGGAAACCGTACAACATGAAGCCAACAATTTTGAGGAGCTCAGTTTCGGTGGAGGCACACGTTGTTCGTTGATTTGCCCAGTAGACGTGGGGCAAAAAGGGCCACACTCGCTATTTACTTGTTCGCTTGAAAGGGACAATTGCGAAATCCAATGGAATCGACATTCGTACATTGTGGGGCTTCCCGCTGAGCAAGATGATTAAACCTTGATTGCATCTTTGTCTAACTAGTCCCCTCCCAGGATGTCGGAAGCATGTGCCATGGTCCGTTTTCGCGTGGCTGAGTGGCTTGGCCACAAACAGTCCAAACTTTTTGTTTGCCGCTGAACTGGTCTTTGCAAAATTAAATAAAGTGCAGGAACTCAGGAAGAGATTAATCACTGGCGATTGGCATCTTTAAACCAATCCGAAGTAACAGGCATCTTTTTGTGGCGCGGACGCTGCCTTCTTCGACCCACCTCAGCCGAGGTGTCGAGCCACCAACTGCGTTAGCAGCGGACACAGCACCTTAGCCCAACACCGTAGCCGATGTCTTCTCGCTGTTGTGTGGAGTTTGTGCGGCTGCTGTATGTTGTTTTGCCGCAGTTTGCTGCCTGTTGCTGTGACTTGCTGTGATGGCTGCGTGTTGGCTCAGTGCTTGCAGTATTTGCTGCTGCTGCTGCCGCCCGCCCGCCGCTGCTGTGGGTGCGCTTGTGCTTGTGGTGGTTGTGGTTGATGTGGTTGTGGATTGTTGTAGTTGTGAGTTGTGGGTGTGGGTTGTGGGTTGTGGGTTGTGGGTTATGTGGGTTATGTGTGTGTGTGTGCGGAGTGGCAGAATACCCTGCCACCATAAACCTTTTTCCGCTGCAGCAGGGGCTTGACCATGTCTGTTTGGAGTCGGCCGCCACCACCTTGGATGATCTAGCTGGCGGTCCGGAAGAGGAGAGTGCGTTGGCGAAACATGTCTAGACTTCCTCGGTGCCGAAACTCCATTGCCCTGGCGGACACCCTGGAAACCCCGAGCACCTCGGTGATTCAAAGTCCTTTTGGCCCGGTGCTTCTCTCGCTGTGTGTGCTTCATGTTGATCCTTGTAACGTTTTCGCCTCTAGAGGGAAACCAAGTGACTGCGAGCCGAAACTTATTGTACTCGAGACTCATCAGTTGTACTCGAGACTCATCAGTTGTACTCGAGACTCATCAGTTGTACTCGAAAGATTAGCACCCTCCCTTGGGAGTTGAAGTGTGAGTACCCCAGTCTTGGGGGACCTTCGGGTGTACCCATCGTGTGACCCCGGGCCGGATCGCCGGAAAATTTGACCTCAACGTTCTTATCATAGACCAGCGGAATTTCACGTTTAAGCAGGAACGAGGTCTCACTAAAGGGAAGACAGCCACGAGCTCATAGTGACGTCTCACCGATCATGAGGATGAGAGCAGACTGGTTGACGTTTGGACTTGTTTTGACTTGTGCTTGACATGGACTTGCGTTGACTTGCATTTTGTCGGATTCGATTTTCTGAAGATTAAGTTGGCACGGCTTTTGAGATTGTTGAACCGTCATGTCTCGACGAGAAGATCGTGGCAGATCTAGAACCCGGCGCAGACGGGGACACCCCGATCTCGGATGGCGTGGATTGGAGCAACTTGGTTTCCTGGCAGCGCAATTCGGGCTACAACGCAGTCATGAATCATGGAGACCTTTTACGAGAATTAGATACCTACTTCATTCTGTCTCGCAAAATGCATAACTTGGACCCATGGAGTGTCTTCTTCATCGGCATCCTCGGTCTCCGATGGTGTTTGACGACCTCCTTCGCCTCCCTATGATCCTGAGGAACACGTCTTGCTCAACTTGGAGATCCTTCGTCCCCGTATCTGCTGATTTGCTTTTTACTGCGACTCATTCTACAAAACCGTGGGTACATTCCGCCGTTCTTCGAGGTTCTTCACTACTACCACTACTACCACCACCACTACCACCACCACCACCACTACGACGACCGCCACTACTACAACCACTGCCGCGCCTTTCTACATCATGGACGGAAGAATGGCGCATGGTCTACCACTTTGACGTGTACTTGCCCCGTGACAGCACAGTTGCTACAGCCTTGGACACCCTGAACTTTGCCCTGGCGGTAGATCGGTTCTACCACTTTGAAGAGTATTGGCCTCATGACAGCACCACCGGTCTCCTACGTGTCGTCCTCATCGGCGTCTTCAGTTCCTGATGGCGCGTGGCGTGAACCTTCTCCCCCGCCGAGGCTGTCCACCTTCGTCAACGAGCCTTTTCGCTCCAAGTGTTGGCAGTACTGCTTTCCTTGACTTCGACCACCATCGGTTCCAATGGATGAGTATGAGTCAATTCTGCATTTACCTCAGTTGGACCTCATCCTTGAAGCGCTCACCATGGTTCGGATTGCACTTCAAATTCCGATGCCTTCCATGTCGCGCTCCCGTCACACTGTGACCAACAGGTATGAGCTTCACAGATGTCGGAACACTTCGATGTGAGCTTCACAGATGACGGATCACCTCGTATCTGCTGATTTGCTTTTTGCAACAACTCATTACACAAAATCATGGGTACATTCCGCCGTTCTTCGAGGTTTTTCACTTCTACAAGACGCATCCAATGTTTTTCCCATGACGCAGGGCAACTACCAACATACTCCCTCCTCTTCGCAACAATTTCAGCATCCTCCGGTCAACTGCGTGATGCCGTTTCCTCCGGAGCCCATACCGGTGAAGATCGTGAAGTCCATGATGCCACCACCGGTTCCTTCATCCCAAACTACAACATCACCTGGACACCCAGCTACTACCAGTACAACCTCAGAAAGCGCGGCTCACTCCACCAGACAATTGGAAACTTGGTGACGGCGCGCAGCCCTGGCAACTCACGAGTGTACTGGATTCGTGTTTACACACCGGGCATGTGGCAGCCTGTGGCAGAATCCACCTTAGGCCCAGCTCCGGACCACGCGTCCACATATCGAGAATGGCGCAGAGTCTACCACTTTGACGTGTGCACAGGAGGCACCACTGCGGATGCACTCGCACCACCGGTCTCCTACGTATCCACCGCTACTACGACCACCACCACTACTACGACGATACTACGACCACAACAACCACCACTACGACCACCACCACCACGACCACCACCACTACAACTACACCACTACCACTACTACAACCACCACCACCACCACGACCACCACTACGACCACGACCACCACTACAACAACCACTACAACCACTGCGACCACTACGACACCACCACTACTACCACTACTACCACCACCACTACCACCACCACCACCGCCACTACGACGACCACCACTGCTACAACTACTACGACCACCACCAAGACCACCACCACCACCACAACCACCACTACAACAACCACCACAACCACTGCTACCACCATCACGACCGCCACCACCACCACAACCACCACCGCCACGACTGCCACCACCACCACGACCACCACCACCACCACCACTACTACGACCACCACCACTACTAACTACTTTGCAGCGTTGGCGCCGATTTCGCAGTAATGCGTGCCAGTATGCGTTGTTTGCGTTGCCTCGCAGCCCCTCTTGCTTGTGTTGTCCTTGCTGTGATTACGCTTGCCATGTGGTTGTCTCCAGAGTTCGTGTGGAAGGTCTATCAGCAACTTGAGGCACGCGGATGCACTCGCACCACCGGTCTCCTACGTATCCACCACTACTACGACCACCACCACTACTACGACATACTACGACCACTACAACTACTACGACCACAACAACCACCACTACGACCACCACCACCACGACCACCACGACTACAGCTACCACCACCACTACCACTACTACAACCACCACCACCACCACGACCACCACCACCACCACTACGACCACGACCACCACTACAACAACCACTACAACCACTACGACCATTACGACCACCACCACTACTACCACTACTACTACCACTACTACCACCACCACTACCACCACCACCACCACCACTACGACGACCACTACTACTACAACCGCCGCCACTGCTACCACCACCACCATGGCCAACATCACCACCACCACGACCACCACCACTACTACCACAATCACGACCACCACTACAACAACCACCACCACCACGACCGCCAACCACCACCACCACCACCACTACTACGACCACCACCACTACTAACTACTTTGCAGCGTTGGCGCCGTCAAAATTCCTTTGTGTGGTTGTGCATTGCTTCGCACTTGTTGTTTTTCTTGCCTTGACTTGCTGTCCTGAGTGTTCAAGTCATGATGGAACAAGATGTGCAGACGTTCATAACCTGGACCCATGGAGTGCAGCCGACGCATGCTCGACATTAACCAGCTCTACTCTTTCAGCTTGCCCATGACGGTTACCAACACCCCGCACAATACTGGTATGTCGGGCATGGACATCCGGGATGTTCGCTTGGTTCAGGTCATCCACGGGGGCATCTCTAACTGGCTGCTGAGGCCATTTGCTCACGGATGATTCGTGATGTGGGAAGGATTTCGCACCCGCACCGAGGCCCTGCTCTGGAGTACCTGTTCAAAGCTGTTGTCGCCGCCTCCTGGCAGCTATCCTTGGTTGAGTATTCGCCATGTGGACTGAACTTCGACACAGTGGGATATTTGACGACGTTGCGCAATGGCATTCCTTGGCTACCTTTCTGGACACACTACCGTTCTTCTTTGCGTGTTGGCAGTACTGCTTTCCTGGACTTCGACCACCATCGGTTCCAATGGATGAGTATGAGTCAATTCTGCATTTACCTCAGTCTCACCATGGTTCGGATTGCACTTCAAATTCCGATGCATTCCATGTCGCGCTCCCGCCACACTGTGGCCAACAGGTATGAGCTTCACAGATGTCGGATCACTTCGTATCTGCTGATTTGCCTTTTACTGCGACTCATTTCACAAAACCATGGGTACATTCCGCCGTTCTTCGAGATTCTTCACTACTATATCACTACTACCACCACCACAACCACCACCACCACCACCACTACGACGACCACCACTACTACAACCTCTGCCATGCCTTTCTACATCATGGACGGAAGTGTCTTTCTCCTTGTGTGAGACGTCAACCAGGACACTTCCATTGCAGATGCGCGCGTCATCAACGACGGTGAACAGGTGCCAAAACACCTTACACGCTTTGTCGACGTGGACTGGCCTCGTGACAGCGCAGGAGGCACCACTGCGGTTAGATTACTTTGCAGCATTGGTCAGCAATTGTCGGATTGCGCGCGTCAAGCGTCCCACCAGCACCAACCAGCACGTGCATCACGTGGAGTTGAACCACCTGAGTCTATTGGGGTCGCTGATCCATATCTACCTGCGAGCCAACCATGCAGCTCTAACACCAAGGAGAAGCCTATCTTCGAGCTAGGCGATGAATAGACTCATGCGTTTTGATCTTGACATAAACGAGTGTTTTCTCTTGCGCTTGCTTTCATGTTCGTTTGCTGGTTGTGCATGGTTGTGCATGGTGACTGTTTCCTTGCTAGCTGGATCGGAACCTGCGGTACGCCCTGTCTTTCACTTCGGCATGGACACGGATGATGCGACTCAGACGTCGGCATGGCTCGAATATTCCGTCTGGCAAGATCAGGAGTGGGTGTGGATCTACAGTCCGGGACAACTTCAACTCTGGCACCCAGAAGTGCCGCCGACGTGGTTGCAGTATCACGGACCCTCACTCCATGATCGCCTACCTGGAGTTCAAGTAATGGATTCGTGTTTACACACCGGGCATGTGTATCACGGACCCGCGCCTCATGATCGTCTATCTGGGGGCCGAGAAGAACGGACATTTCGAATGACGATTCTTCACCCACAGTTTGTGCCCTCATTACGGACTTGAACCACCTCATCCCCCCGAGGACAATCCTGCCCGGCTACGATGTATCCACGACTACTACGACCACCACCACTACTACGACCACTACAACTACTACGACCGCAACAACCACCACTACGACCACCACCGCCACGACCACCACCACTACAACTACCACCACCACTACCACTACTACAATCACCACCACCACCACGACCACCACCACCACCACTACGACCACGACCACCACTACAACAACCACAACAACCACTACAACCACTACGACCACTACGACCACCACCACTACTACCACTACTACCACCACCACCACCACCACTACGACGACCACCACTACTACAACCACCACCACTACTACCACCACCACCACGACCACCACCACCACCACGACCACCACTACAACAACCACCACCACCACTACTACCACCATCACGACCACCACCACCACCACCACCACCACGACCGCCACCACTACCACGACCACCACCACCACCACCACTACTACGACCACCACCACTACTAACTACTTTGCAGCGTTGGCGCCGTCAAAATTCCTTTTGTGTGGTTGTGCGTTGCTTCGGACTTGTTGTTTTTCTTGCCTTGACTTGCTGTCCTGAGTGTTCAGGAGTCTACCACTTTGACGTGTACTGGCCTCGTGACATTACAGGAGGCACCACTGCGGATGCACTCGCACCACCGGTCTCCTACGTACTACTACTACGACCATCACCACTACTACGACCACTAACCACTACTACGACCACAACAACCACCATACAACTACCACCACCACTACCACTACTACAACCACCACCACCACCACCACCACGACCACCACCACCACGACCACCACCACCACCACTACGACCACGACCACCACTACAACAACCACTACAGCCACTACGACCACTACGACCACCACCACTACTACCACTACCACCACCACCACCACTACGACGATCCACCACCACCACCACGACCGCCACCACCACCACAACCACCCCACCACCACTACTACGACCACCACCACTACTAACTACATTGCAGGGGATACTAACGCCTTGGTGACCCACGTCCATACATTGGATCGGTAGACTTTCGCCCCTCTCTGAGGGGCGTGTGTGTGCGGAGTGGCAGAATACCCCGCCACCATAAACCTGGGGCTTGACCATGTCTGTGTGGAGTCGGCCGCCACCACCTTGGATGATCTGGAGTAGCTAACGCGCTGCTGGCGGTCCGGAAGAGGAGAGCGCGTTGGCGAAAGATGTCTAGACTTCCTCGGTGCCGAAACTCCATTGCCCTGGCGGACACCCTGGAAACCCCGAGCACCTTGATTCAAAGTCCATTTGGCCCGGTGTTTCTCTCGCTGTGTGTGCTTCCTGTTGATCCTTGTAACGCTTTCGCCTCTAGAGGGAAACCAAGTGACTGCGAGCCGAAACTTATTGTACTCGAGACTCATCAGTTGTACTCGAGACTCATCAGTTGTATTCGAAAGATTAGCACCCTCCCTTGGGAGTTGAAGTGTGTTGGTGGTGGTTGTGGCGGCGGTTGCGGCGGCGGTGTCGGTGCTGGTGCTGGTGGTTGTGGAGGTGGTGGTGGTGGTGGTGGTGGCGGTGGTGGTGGTGGTGGTGGTGGTCGTGGTGGTGGTGGTGGTGGTGGTGGTGGTGGTGGTTTGTTTGTCTGTTCCCTTGCTTGCTTGTTTGCTTGCTTGTTTGTTTTCTGTCTTGTTTGTTTGCTGTTTGTTGGTGGTTGCTGGTTGTTGCTGGTGGTGGTCGTCGTGGTCATCGTCGTCCAACATATGCCACCACGTGGCTCCAAAAATGGTCTTGCAGTCACGTCACCATGTGGTCTGAGATCATCTTGACATCATCTCACCTTCAGGTGCGCACTGGAGGAGTTTCTACAGGAAGTTAGCCAAACACCCACCAAAACCAAGAGTTTGGGCCAGGTTCTTGAACCCGTGTTCAACTGCAAGCAACCGAAGTATACAATCTCAAGTATTGGTCGCGCTAAATTTTGGGCCTACTTTGGCTAGTGGAGCCTTCGGACGGATAACCGTGTAGCTCTCGGCTTCTCCCCAGGAAGCGGCTCGCACTAAGGTCGCTACTCGCTGATGCAAAACGTAAAGCTCCCACAGGCTACCAGAGGTACATTAAATGGCTCGCCCAATGGACATGAACACAGCCAGGCGCCTGCTAAAACACCCACGCGCATCCGGCCTTGAAGAGGGTCGTTGCTTGCTGTCCGTGCCATATTTGGAGAGCTTGAGCATCCTGACGCGTTTCCATACATCCTGACGCGTTGCCATACAGTACGGCCCTTGTGGCAAGCAGTGTGATGCAGGGACTTGAAGATGCCATGGTTTTTCGAGCTTCCTTTTCATCAACAAAAAAGGTTGCCCATATGCCAAAATTGAGCCAAGACCGGCTCCACGCCCAACAAACCCTGGAGCCAAATGCAGCGAACGGCGGCTTTTTTCTGAGAATTCTCAAAAGTTGGGAAGGATTGCAGGTTTGCCTCACGCATGTGTCTATATAGATACATATCTGCTTGAACCCGCCTCGCAACGAACTACAGTTGGGGTATGCGTGTCTGATGCGTGCTTATCTACATTTGCTCATCTGTGTCTGCGTCAGCCAGGTACGAACGTATCAAAACAACTTTTGGGCATCTGCACTTGTGACTTCCTACTTGAATCATCAATCGAAATAGACATTCAAAACCCGTTTGCGTAGCAACTCTTCCTTCGTTCTACTGCAACTCTCATTAAACACAACCTTATTAAACACAAGGTTTCAGATTCAAATTCAACTATCCCAGTAACTATATCCATTCCCTTGCTATGTTCTGTTCATGGAAAGGATGCTTTGTTCAACCAACTTCCAACGGAACAAAGAATCCTAGTCAAACTCTTTCGTTATTAAACACGATGCACATTCTACTGTTCAAATCATATGTGGAAAGAACATCCCCTTCGAGTTCTCATTCAGTAAAGAAATTATAACAGGACTAAATTGTGGCTAGAACCTGATCAAGCTTCAATGAGAATCTAATTTGGCATACTGAGCCTTCTAAAAAGCCTTGAAGGGAGCCGTAGCCTCATAAGCAGCCTTTTACTGACCCTGAGGGGCTTTACAAGCGCTGATTTTAACAAGGAAGCACCACAAGGGGCCATATAAGGAGCCAAAAAGAGCTTAAAAGGAGCCGCGCAAGGAGCCTTGAACGAAGCGGAAAAGAGCTGTGTGAGGAGCTGCAGGAAACGTCTTAGAACAGCTTAACAAGTGAGCTTGACAAGGAGCTTTGCAAGCAGCTATATACTCCTCTCAAAGCTGGCCCAACTTCGGTCAAATCCCCCTCAAAAAACACACGCACACACAGTCAAATTCTCTAGAAATTTGCACCTTCGCATGGCACACAATTCTGTAGCTCTCTGCGGCTCTCGTTCGGGCCCCTGAAGCCAGGTGGAATCGCGCGGACATGCACCCGCCCTCAAACCAGCTCACACATTTCCGCGCCGACTCACTCACTCCAATAAACACAACACTTCAAGGCAAACTAAAGCACAGTAAAAACCTCAAAGCCGGCCAAAAGCGGACTGGCCGAAACTCAAGGACAACCAACAAAACAACTTGAGAAAACCCAAAAAAACAACGACCAAGATGATGGCTGGTCTGGCCTCACATTTCTGGCTTTGGTTTTCTTGAGTTTTTTTAGGACCCCGGTTTCTGGAGCTGTCGGAGCCAAAAAGCCAAACAAGCACAGGGTGTTTCTGTTTTTGTTGGCTCCAAAAGCATCAAAAACAAACACAAACTCTAGGATAACCAAATCAAGCCAAAAAAGCTGGAAAACCAACAAAACCAAAGTTTGATGTTGAGCCAGCCGTTTTTGTTTTGCTCGAGTTGTTTTTTAAGAGGGTGCTTTTGGTGTTCCTCGAGTTTTTTGGCATTCTGAGCATTTGGAGCCAAACAAATTCTTTTTTAGTTTTTGATGAGTAAGGGAAGATGCACCAACACAAATCCAGCAAGAGTTGTGGTATCCTAGTCTTTGGTAACAAGAATTCAATAGCAGGTGGAGATGCGGCAAAACAAACTCAGTATTGAAGAAATAACACACATTGCATCTTGAATGCTTAGTTTATTTTTCATGTTGTGTTCCTTAGGCTTCAGGTATTTGGTGGATATTGGTAGTAACAACCTCATACACAGGAGGCATGTTTATAGTTTGACAATACAAACACATCAACCTCAGTGTTGTTTTTTCCATTTTTTTTCATTTCCTTCTTCATATTTTGTTCATCTTAACTTCTGAGAAGCACCTTGGCTCAGATTGAAATTCGGCATAGACACTTCTTGCAGTTGTATATACATTTACACACCAGTGTTTTTGAAGGGTGAGATGAACCAAATGGTCCAAACGTAGTTCATGCATATACAATACACAGAATGCGGTCCGAGCAAAGTCAGCAGTGTCCCATGTGGATTGGCACCATCGCGTCCCATCTGCATCAGGCCCAAAGCTAAGGAGGGCGCAGGGCGAAAGCTTTGTAGTGCTGGAGTTTGCGCGGTTGCAGGCCCCTAAAAAATCAGACCGAACAACCAAGATCCACGCCAAGAATATTGAAGCATCTCCTCAAAAACCCTTCAAATCAGTTGCCTGGCCTGGCACCAGTGCTATTGCCACAGGTTTCAGCATGCTTGGCTCAAGGAAAGCAAGAGACATCGAGAGTTCCTTTTGTCTAGTGGCCGCAGCTGTTATTTCTGAGCTGTCACTGTTTGGACACAACTCCTTGGCCTTTAAAACCTTCCACAAGGCTACCTTCAAAAAATACACCCGTACACCAACACACATGACCTTTTCTTCCTGCAAAGCGATTCTCTTGAAGATCCCGTTGGATCTGAAGCTGAGGCATTGGCGAGGAAATTGCACCTGTTCCCTGAGGGCTTGACTTCTCTTCGGATGGATCACACCCCAGACATGAACACAATGAATTGGTCATCCACCTCTTGCGAAGCCCTGAGAAAAGGCGCACAGCTGCCGGAAGCAGCCAGCATAGAGAGTGTGGAGCTGTGAGAAGCGCTCGACTTCTCTGAACCCAAAAACTCAATGGAGCCAAGCTCCTTCGGCACATACCAGCGTGGCGTGGCTAGGGCACAACTGTGGATGGAAGAAAGTGCCAATGGAAACAGAACAACATCAAATCATGCGTAGTCCTATGGGAACAACACAAGTATTGACCAAATCATACATTGCACTGGCAACACATATCCTTTCCACGGATGTGACCAGTGCCTTTCATGTATCTTGCCCATGTCAAGCTGGCGCATTGAGGCCTGCTGGTCGGATTCATGTCCTGGACAATCCACGCGACCGCAATCTTCAAGACTCAAAAAACTGCAGCGTCTCCGGACTTCCTGAGTAGATTGGCAAGCAACACCAACACTTTTTGTTTACCAGGACTTGAGAAAAAGTATAAAGTCCAGAAACTCAGGGACTCAGTCTCAGGTTGTCTGTGTTGGGACGAGTTGCCTTGGTTGTTGTATCAAATCAGATCACATCTGAAAAAAACACCGCTCCCAACAATCATAGAAGCGGAAGGGCAATTTGGCCTGTCAGCGCGAGGCTGGTCTGGGGACAACCCAAGTCTCGTATCGGCTTCTGACCACCAACTCAGCTCGTGAGTTCCGACCGTATCGGTACCTGAATCGAAGCGCTGCTGTTATAGTTCGGGAATGAGGGAATGAACTCAGGGGTCCCGATAAAGGAAACCACCAGTTGGATGGTTTATAAGGGTCATTCCATTCCTCATTCCTCGCTGAGATCCAGCAAGCTGACTCTCATTTGGGGTGACAAAATGTGGGAGCCCTTGATATCCCCGATGTTCTCGGCGCCTTGCCCGGCAACAGGCGCAGGATCCCCAAGAAGAGCGCGTGCGCACAATGCGTTTTTGGGGATACCCGGCATTTCGGAGGTGCAACTGGCAAACCAAAGAGTTGCCTGCAACCGCGGTGAGGGCTACCCATTAGCTTCGACATGTCTAAACCGCCGAGAACTCCCTTTGATACATGTCGTGGCTTGGCATCACCTGGCCTTGGAGGCTTGACACCAATGATCAACCCCGTTTTGTGCATATCACGTGTGACGGCATGTCACGTGCCGGTCCAGCGGTCCCTTTCGCTGTAAGACCCTCCCGCCTTGAACAAGGCGCTGAAACGACTTGACCTGAGGGCAGGAGCGAGCCGTGAACCTTCTGCAACCCGCCGAAATGGGAGGGGGGTGAACAGGTTTTGGACGTGTCCAAAGCCTATGGCCTATTTTGCTTCTTTGGCCTTTCTTTTCTTTTCGGTCCGCAAATCTCAACAAAGCGCAGTGAAGAAGGTGTACTTAAGTACAGTAACAGGCTCAACGGCAGAAAGTTCAGCATGTAGGTCAGTCATGTGTCGGGTTGTCAAACCAACAACAAGAGGTGGCCCATGTCGGACGGCAGAGGATGACTTCAGCGCCTTGATCTCTCGTGGGGTGCCATTTTCTTGTCAAGAAAAATCACTGCAAAAACATGACATTCCTTATGGCCTCCTGAAATGACAGTTAAATGTTCCATAGGCTTTGCAAACAAGCGCCCTTGCGACGAGTTCCGTTTCTTACTTTACAACGACCATCCATGTCAAGATAGACGGTCCTGCTTGCCAGGTGCTGACGCCAAGAGTTGAAGGACTCCTGCTCCTTCTGTTTGAAAGAATCTTAAATGCATCTGTCCATTTCAATGGCTGTTCTAAAGCTTGATGTCTTCTCACTTCGAAAAGGAGTCAAGCGCTGATATCAAGCCAGCTCAGTTGCTTGGGTCAGGAACGAGCTAGAATGCGGTTCTTTGGGCCTTGGGTGTGTCAAGGATAGATTTTTTTCGGCCTGTCAACCAGCTTCAAAGCTGACGCATGCCAAGTTAAACCTTCAGCCGACAGCTGGCCCAACAAGCATAAACCAGCCTTGCCCCAAAAAGTCTAAAGCCTCCCCTAAGTGTTGAGACTGATTCAAAAAAATGGGAATGTCTTCGTTGAGGGTTTTTGTTGCTTGTTTTTTTTTGTAAAGTTGCTGTTCAAGCAAAAGCAAAGAGAACAACATTTTCGGGGTTGCCATATGAAAGCAAACCAAATGGGAATGCCATCATTTGAGTATTGACCGTTTGGCAGACATCATTCACATGGGGATTTATGCCGATTGATCATTTCCGAGGCCTTCCAGCCATTAAAACCCGCCACATTAACACCTGGGCGCCCACACGTCGCCTCGCCATCCGTGATGAGGTCCGCGAGCCGCTCTTTGTCT